ATTTGCTTGCCAATCGCCTTAAACAATTTATTGGTAATGTGGTACACCAGGACAAGAGTTACTGTGTTCCTGGTCGGACTATTTCTGATAATATTTCTCTCATTAGAGATATCATTAATTTCTGTAATTTTAGTGATGTTCCTTTAGCCGTGGTCAACTTGGACCAAAAGAAAGCTTTCGACAACGTTGACCACGATTTCTTGTTTGATACTATGAGAGCCATGTTTTGGAGACGTTTCCATATCATATATTAAACTTTTGTACAGTGGCGCCAAGAGCCTGGTGTGCGGTTCTTTGACTGCACCCTTCACCTTCGACAAGGGCATCTGTCAAGGATGCCCGCTTTCGGGCCTCCTTTACTCTATTGCGATAGAACCCTTTTCTCCTTCCCGGTACTGATAAATATTGCTCGGTCTCGGCATACGCCGACGACATTTCCATTTTTGTCACCTCCGACGCCGGTTTTAAAATAATTGAGCACACATATGGTCTTTTCAGCAGAGCCTCTGCTGCAAGGTTAAGCACTCAAAAATCCCAGGGGTTGTGGGTCGGTTCGTGGACCGGACGAGTCGACCGGCCCCTGAACTTTCAGTGGAACAATCAAGGTCTAACTTTTCTTGGAGTTCGCTTAGGAAACACTCACGACTTTCTCAAACAAAAATGGACTATCTGTAAAGACAAACTTAACAAACCTCCCTGTCAATGGAAACAGCTCTCTTCTACTCTGTCCTTTAAAGGCAAAATTCTCGTGGCCAATCGACTAGCCGCGTCTAAACTCTTTCACGTCTTGGCCCTTCTCTCTCCCCCCGATAATTTCCTGAGCGAACTCCAAGATTTGCTGGTCGACTTCGTCTGGTCCGGAAAAAGACATTATCTTAAAGAAACAAATTCTTTTTCAAAGACCCGATAGGGGCGGTCTTGGTCTTGCATGCCTCCAAGCACGCACGCTCGCCTACAGAATGTCCACTATTCAACGTTTTCTTGATCTTTGCCCTCATCTTGCCTACACCATGGTCAGTTATTTTCTCCGGCGTTACAAGAAACTCGACTTTGACTTTCAACTCTTTCAAATTAATCTCTAACCAAAATTCTTCATCAGCATTCCTACATTCTATGACAAGCTACTGTGTGCTTGGACGGCATCCGGAGCTCGGATTGGCATACCTTTGGATTCGATCAGCCATG